GCTGGTAGGTTTGGTTTTCTTGGTACGGTACGGTTGGTACAAGTGGTACGGTACGGTTGGTACTGTTGGTACGCTTAGTAAGGTACGTTTGGTACGCTTACCGACCGTACCGACCGTACCAGTGAACCGTACATAACCGTACCACCGTACCGTACCAGATTAAGGGGGGGGGTCAAGGTGGGGGCGTTTTGGATGTACCAATACTACTTTAGTATTGGTACATCCAAAACGCCCCCCCCTTGACCCCCCCCTTAATCTGGTACGGTACGGTGGTACGGTTATGTACGGTTCACTGGTACGGTCGGTACGGTCGGTACGGTTGGTAAGCGTACCAAACGTACTTTACTAAGCGTACCAAGCGTACCTACCCAAAGCGTACCAAGCGTACCAAGCGCACCAAGCGTAGCGTACCTATCTTATAGCTGGATATCAAGCACCTATCTTGAACTTAGATAATGTAAAAGCGTCTGTGTGTAAAAGCTTCTGTGTGTAAAAGTGTTTGCGATGCAAACTATTGTCTTGCACTTCTGCTATTTTGTCTTGATACTCCTCTTCTCGACTGCATATAACACATCATTAATATATTGTTTGTAATATGGTGTCTCCATGCTAACACCCTGCTCCTCTACGCTCTCGGGCCATCCGTCGTCTAGTTTGTGGTTCACCGTGGTGATTTCGTTGTGAATCGATTTCTTTCCATTCTTTCAGATCAACTTGGGAAACCTTAATTTATCTTTCAAGTGTGATGTCAGTTCTCAGTTGAATTGTTACCTTTTGATCTTGATCAATTCATCTCACGTCCGTGATTTTCCATTCAAGGTGTGGGTGGGAGGGTCCTCAATTTTTATCGAGGAAACAAAACACCCTCCCCGTTTTCACTCCCACCCTTGTTTCCTCTTTTTTGCCGTTTGTGCTGGAAGCCAACCAGCAATCAGAGATTCATCAAACCTCATCGTTACCTTCCCCAAAGCGTTGTTCAAAAAAGGTGTGGCAGCTTTGGTGTCATTCTTTTGTCCAAACATTCACAGTTGTGATGCTTGTTTTGCTTTTGGTTTTCATTTCGCTGTTGGTTTTCGCGGCGACGAAAAAACCAAAACACGTTTGCCCCTTTTACGTTCTGCGCACAACTCAAACCAAACTCGTGGTGACAAGTATCCGTTGCACGCCCTGGCGTTGCACGTTTACAAGTAGCGAAACAATAAGGCTCGAGGAGAACGGACGGCCAAGTGTCTCCGTGTTGTTACCTTTAACGGGAACCGGCAAGGGAAAAATAGCGACCACTAAAAGCAGATGAGATACGACTTGTGGGGATTTGACGATTCGACCTGGGAAATCTAATGGCACGTGGGTGCAGCAAGGGAAAATCCTTGACGTGTGGGGGTTGACCCGGTAAATCTAATGGCACATGGGTGCAACTAGGCAAAAAGATGGTCCACTGAACGCATGTGAGATAGGACTTGTTTTTTCTAGAACTATCGTAATTTCCTATCTCATCAGCCTTTACTGCTGTCACAAAACATGAAGTCCCGATCATTTATCAAGGTGTTTTTTCAGACTTGCATTCAGGTTTCAAAGCGGGTTCAGCGCACATGAGGCGGGAATTTTGGCAAATCCAGGTACCAAAATTCCCAACTCATGTGGCTATTCTAGCCAATTCCCCATAAGCGCTTCAAACAGTGGACACAAGAGATAGGACTAGACCCTAGACCCTAGCAAGTCTTCTCTCATCCGAGGCCACAAGTCCTAACTCATCAGTACTCAGTATATATACATATATTTCTACCTCACAAAAATGATTCTTTGTGTTATTGCATAACTGTTCAATCAATTGATTCACAACCCTATCAAGGTATATAGGAAACTTTGCACATATTGGCACCCATACTTCCCTTAAGGAAAACCATATTCATTTAAAATAGTTACTCAAAGGGTTCCACTCTGACATATTGTTGTCCTTCATCCATTATTGACTTCTGTAAAAGAGCTTTGCACAGCTGTCTCATTGAAAATGACATTGGGTTCATGTGAAATAAATGCTGTGCACCCTTATGTCAGAGGACTGCACAAAATGATGCCACTTTATGCAAAGAAAAATATGATTTTATGCTAGGAATGT